GGACCTGAAGTCTTTCCGTCACAAATAATGGAGCAATGATAAAACCGGACTGCCACTACTTTAAATGGCTCCAGGGGGGTGCAATCAACAAAATCAAGACTCTGAGATATTTGGCATCTCTGGATCAGATGCCTTCAGCAAATAAATTACCGGGAGAGAAAGAAGCTGTAGAGTACGAGACCCGAGAGCTGCAGGATCGAGTAACCAAGGGCAATGTGTGGGTGTTGTTTGGATCTGATTGAATCTCCATTAAAAAATTTTTTTAAGTTAGAGGAGCCCTGGTGGCATGACAGTGACACATTGGGCTGCTAACGACAAGGTCAGTTGTTCGAAACCACCAGCTGCCCCTCGGGAGAAAGACGAGGCTTCCTATTGCTGTAGAGTTGCAGCCTCAGAAACTCACAGGGGCCGGTCCGCCCTGTCCTACAGGGTTGCCATGACTCAGCACTGACTCAAAGGCAGTGCGTCTAGGGCTGTTGTTTTTTGTTGTGTTTTAGTTTAATTTAGGTGCTTTGTTTTTGTTTAAGTTATGGGGCAGTAAGGGAACACTGATATGCTTGGTGCTGAAGAATTGGATCTTTTTTCCTTTGTGGTTTTTTATCTTTAAGAGTGTCCACACTTTTTATAGACACGCAGAGAAATATCCATGGGGCCTGCTTCCTGCAAAACCACCCAGCAAAAGAAGGGGTTGGCAGCGCAGGGCTGTGGCTGGGAATGGGTAAAAGAAGCGTGGGGCTTCAGGACCCTATTTTCTGTGAATGTATGACATCACCCATCCGCAAAAGAAATTGGGAAACGAGGGGTGGGGTGGCCCCAGGACCTCACCTCAAGGCCAAACTTGTAAAACCCGTAGTTGATGAAATACAGCCACGCTCCGGGCAGCCCCTCGTCCAGGTGTGCCCGGGTGATGTCGTCGGCAAGGACCGCCAAGAGGGGTTCGGGCAGCTGCTTCCGAAGTCGGTGGAATTTCTGATGCCGTCTCACCGTCTGCTCCAAAGCCATGAGGGCCAAGGTGATCAGCTGGCCCTGCCAAAGGCAGGGAGCGCGTCAGCCCGCCCGGCCCACGGCCTCCGCTCCTCGCCCACTGGCCCCAACACAGGTGCACATCTCACCTCCCAGAGCGCTTTGCCAGAGGAGGGTCTGCTTCTCAGGCCTGGGCGTCACCGGGGCGGAATCATTTCCCAAATGTCCCCCGCACCCCCCACCCCTGCTCCCCAAACGTCTCCGTTCCTTTCTTCCTGTAGGGGATGCGCTCCACAAATACCAGGTATTGATTTCCCATCGATCTGGGCGGAGGCTGTGCCTCACAGTTATGACTCCCGACAGGCTGGGAATAAGAAGCCAACCAGAATGAGTTCATTTACTTTGCTTGATGGCCTCCCGGTCCAGCGTGCTGGGGCCTCCAGCACGCCCTCCCAAAGGACCTGGGCCTGCCTCCGAGCTGCCCCGCAGGGAGTGCTGGGGGGCACCCAGCCCCATTCGGCTCTGGGATCCATGCGTTGAAAAGCCATCCTTGGGGTTCGGCTTTCTCTGGAGCGTTCGATGGAGTCTCCCTGCTCCAGGGAGCCTCGTGTGTGGAGAACGAATGAGTCAGAGTTGGGGACAGGGTGACAGAGGGTGCTTGTTGAAAGCCTAATTGTTGGTTATAAATACGCTGTATTTCCCTATTGATTATCTGACACGGGGCTGGAAAGGATTACCTTATTAGATCATATTTAGCCATGAGTATGTTCTGTTTGCGTCTACTTGGGGCACTGGCGAGAGACTAACTCATTATCTGAGATGAAGAGCGGGGTCTGTTCCGTGCCCCAGACGGTCCTCCCAGTGCCCCTCTTTCTGAGCTGGCGCCCCGGCTCACCCCACTGCCTTTCAGGGGCCTCATAGACGTGCTCTGTTCTGACCGGCTTCCCATGGTCACTCAAGGCCTCTCCTGCATCTTCTTAGCACACTAGGAGGTGGACACTAAATGGGACTTCTGTTTGAGCATCTGCATGGCTGGCCCGACCTTCCC